CCTAGCGTATTCCTTTGAATAGTCTGTAGCCTGCATATCGCTCAGGGCGATGGGTCAGGGTAAATGAATTCAACTCAACTCAACTCAACTCAATCAATCATCAATCTTCTTCTTCGCACACAAGAGAGCTCTCGCCATTCAACAGCGCTGGGGCGACGTCGTAATGATGGACTGCACGTACAATTCGAACAGCGAGAAAGTGCCTCTACTACATGTTGTAGGAGTTACTCCTATGGGCCGTGGGTATACTGTTGCCTCCTGCCTGCTGGCGAAGGAAAGTGAAGCTGATTATCTCTAGGCAATTGAACGTCTTTCGCGGGTCATAAAGAAGCCTTCAGTCTTCGTCACTGACTGTGAATTGGCGTTAAAAAATACTCTCAAGACTCACTACAGCGACGTTCCACAACAGCTCTGTACATGGTATATTACTGAGAACGTCGGCAGCAAGATCAGGCAGGCCTGGGCACATCAACCTGATCCAGATGTAGAGACTACAGAGGATAGCGAAGATATCGAGCAGCAGCGGACGGCATGTGCACGTCGCTTTCAACACCTTGCTAGTGCTCCCACGCCTGCAGAATGGGATACTCGCTGGGAGTCCATTCAGAACGACTACGCGGAGAAGGAGGACTTTGTTAGTTATATTCGAACACAATGGGTCCCTTTCAAGGAGCAGTGGTGCCGGGCATAGACTGCTTATAACCTTAATTTTGGTGTTCGGTATGTACTACGTGCTACACCATTGAAAACAGCTGACTACACAGTGTTACATCTATCGCAGAAGGTGCCCATGGCCGTGCTAAGCTATTCCTCAATCACCAGAGGCAGAACCTACTTACGCTCGTTGAGCGTCTCCTTCAAGCAATGAAGAACGAGTGGCAGGATATTGAGCATAAGGAGGCATAGATATTCGCCCGGCCGCAGAACCGGCATCTTCCGGAGCCCCTATTCAAGCTACTAATTCGGCGTGTATTCCCGAAGGCGCTTGATCTGCTGGCCAATCAGCTACGGAAGCTCAGGACGAAGGACTACAACGAGCACTATTGCCATAGCCAATTTGAAGATACAATGGGCTTGCCTTGTGCCCATTCGCTGAGCAGCTAACTGTTAATACAGCATGGACGATCCCTCTCGACGATATTCATCCATTTTGGCGTATCAAGACTCCAGCAGTTGTAGATCCTATTACAACCCTAAACGACTTCATCCCTCACAAGCGCCGGGGCCGCCCACGTGCTAGCGATCAGACACCTGCTAGCACTGCTACAAGCACACAGAGAGAACCTTCACAGTTTGAAATCGTGCAGCAGGCTGATCAGGCAACTCAGCAGACAGTGAAGCGTAGGAGGAAGGCCACAGCGAAGGCCAGCAACGCGTCTCTCAGCAAGAAGGTGGATAACCTGCAGCAGATAATAACTCAATTTATGCAACAGCAGCAACAACAACAACACGACGAGGAGGTGGTGGAAGAGACAACTAGGAAAGTTACACGCAAGAGAAAGCGTACTACAACTGCCCCAGCACGCCCCCGGGCCAAGAAGTAACAGCAGCAGCAGCAGCAGCAGCAGCGAGGACAGCGAGGACGACTGCAACACCATGGAGGAGGATGGAGATACTGCCTTCAGCAGTAGTGCGGCACCCTCTGTAAATAGAGAGATGCCAGCACGTGAGGGTCGTGGCACGAGGAAGGCTCGCTACGGTGACTGAACACGTGATGGAGCGGGCAGGCGGAGGAGCGAGCAGCTGGTGGCAGAGGAGGACGCGGGAGCGCTCGCGGGCGCGAAAAAGCGACGTTTGTAACATGTAATAACTTTCCTCTTCGCGTGCCGCGCTGTGACAGTGAG